GGATGAAGCTTGCTCGTCACAATTGTATCAACCGCGTCGAGATAGTCGCTTCTGCCATTAGGGTCGTAAACCCACACAATCTTGCTTCCAAAGACGATAATTGCTGCGCACCAATGCTCAATATCTACGAAGATATGAACAGGAACGAGAACAATACGAGTATTGACGACTTTGCGTAGCACGCAGTGACTAGTGCCCAGCATTCTCTGCCGGTCGCTCGCATCTTGGAAGTCTAGGGAACCAGAGTCCACCACATGTACGTGGGAGATTCTTCCCTCAGTTTGGCTGTGACTCCACGAGTCAGCCACCTTGAGATCCGCCACGAACACACATCCGTCGCTCAGCCACATTCGCCCGCGAATCTAGTTACGTCGTCACACTGGATGATCGTTTCCCCAATCTTGGACTAAAACGCCGAATACATATTCATTGCTAATATACGACTTATTATTTCACGTCGTGTCTCTATGTCTGGTTTTGCCTCGAGCCGCGCTATCAGCTTGCGAGCCGCCGAAAGTGTTTTCTTTAGACAATGCCACTCGTCCATGGTATCGATGTCAGCTAGTGAGAATGTCTCAACGTCTAGAATTGATACAATTACGTCTTCATGTGGTGCTCTGTGCCCAGTTTTGGCCAGTCAACGTTCTATCGCATTCATCCCTGCGGTTTGTGCCTTCTGGACATGAAGCTCTGGCAGAACGAATCTGATAATTGTGTGTCTTGGTTTCTTCAAATTCTTTTCGGCGCTTTGCTTTCTTCACTGCCCTTTTCTCACGTGGTCTCCCTGCTGGTCTGCTTGTCGTGTTGAGCACAATGCTAACAACCTCATCGTCACTCGACTCGATACCAACACTGTCGAGGTCGAGCTCTCTCCTTGATGATGCTGGGCTTGAAGCCGCTTCCACACGAGCCACCTTCTCGATTTTGATGTCGGGCGTCGAATCTGGATTCTGTACACTTTCCAAATTGGCGACTTCTTCACCAGCGTCATCCGTTTTTGTGATACAAACACTGGTATCATCCAAGTTGGTGACGAAGTAAGTGACTTGTTCACCATTTCTACCCGAATTAGTGACTCCAACACATGTACTGCTTTCACTGCTAGATGGCGGTATGTCATTATGGCGAGCAATCTCTTCTAGTTCTGTCAGGAAATCCATCCACTTACGAAAACTTCGTGATCTTATGTCGACGACCACTTCTGCGATTCTCTGGTACACTGCAAACCCAGATCGATATTTTTTGTTATGACCGATTACTCGGCTTGAAGGGGCCTCAACATGTTCAAAGTAAAATTTCTGCATTATATCCAGGCCGCGGGTATCCTCTTCGTCTTCGCCAGCAAGCAACAATCGTTCCGGTACGGCTTCGCAAGGAATAACAGAGCGCATATCCGGCCGCTTCTGCCGTAAATACAGGATATGACGACACGAAAGCAGCACAGTCTGGTACACAGCACAACTACAAGAGTTTTCAGCCAAGTTCAGTGCGTATTGTTCGGCAGCTTTCGCACTGCATAGCGTAAAAAAGTTTAGTGTGTCTTTGTTGCTTAAAATGCCGTACGTCTCTTTGCCGCTAGCAAGATATTGCTCTTCAACCCGGTTGCAGGCATGGTATGTAGCTAACTTGGCTAACATTGCCATTTCACTGTCGTAATTGTGATTGTAACGGAAACCGACGAGCTTGGTTTTGGTAGTGTACAGGTCCTCAGCAGATTGCTGTAAGAAGAGAAGGTAATCAATACACTCATCCATGGCCCTGTGACGATGCAGCAAGTCCTTAGCAGCCCCCCAACTGGATTCCAGACGGTTGCTCGTATTGTTATCGAGATGCGGGATGTTTCCGCGCGCAAACGTGCACCACAAGTTCTTGCAGGTGAGCCAATTCTCCGTAAAAATAGTTCATAAATGATGGCTTGCCACTACACAACTGCGGTAAAGCAGCAAGGTAATCATCGAACTCACTCTCTTTTACAGTGCAAACCATCATAACCAGGATATTTTTTATCTTCTCGAAAGCTGAAAATCCGTAGTCCTTCTTGCTGACTTCTCGATTAAGATAATCAATGACGTGAAAATGACAGAGGATCACCGTAGCTCATGGAAGCTGTTCCCGCAGCAGCGACAGTCCGGTAGAGTCCTTATCGATTACGATGACCTTTACGTCCGTCAATCTTGGGTTATTCTGCTTAAACGCACGGATTGCACACAGCATATTCAACCTGCTCTCTCCGTCAACTAGAGAGTGCTGAGCAAAAGCTCCACATCCGACCTTGTCCGTGACCATGAAACTGAACAATCTATACCTGTACGCATATTCAGTAGCCGCATGGGCGATCCTAAGAGGATGTCAACGTTTTGGACGTGCTGGTTCGCAATATGAAATCGTCTTCAACGTACGAAATGATTTTAGCCAATAGGCGAAGATTGAGGATCAACGTAGCCAGTGTCACGGACTCCCCTAGCTTTGAGCTTACAAACACCAAGCTAGTTGGTGAATGGTTCACGATTACGTGCACATGTTGGTGAAGTTAATACCAACACGTAAATGCTGGTAACTTCACCAGCACTTCCAGCAGTAACGTACCGAATGATGTTTGTTCCGTAAGTGGCATCGACACATATAGCTTCTGGAAACTTACGCGTCATCCTTCGCATGTGGGCTGTGATGAAACGTAATGCAAGTCGTAGGCCCGGCGGCTTAATCGCGGAAAACATTCACCGCGTTCCCCGGACCTTCACTGAAATCTCTCAAAACCTGGGTCACACGCTTTTTATCGTCCTCGGACGTGTAGGTCTCCTTACGCATTCTGGCAACGAGGGTCTCAACATCTTTTGGCAGCACAGATTTTCCTGACATCTCCTTCATATATCGCAGAATCATTTTCTTCTTGGACCAACCTTAGAGCAGCAATATAAAATTACTATAATTATGCATACCGAATAGATGAAGCTCTTTCTTACCTTGTACCAGTGTCTCGACAACACGTCGCGTGCCCAACGACGTTATTTTCCGAGCCTCCGCGTACGAATAGTACACATCACGACCAACATCGTGGTTGTGTGTCGATATGTGCTTCGTAACGCGAACCTTGTAGCCATCGCCGTCTTGCACCAGAGTTGCGCTCATTTTGTCCGGACAGTCGATTGAGCAAATGTCGTGGTTTGTGCGCGACCCTTTTCCCTTTGGCTTAAAAGTCCACCCATGCGTGCAGATAAGTGTCTTTGTGCAGTATACCAAAGACTTATAGAATAGAACAGGCTTAGAGCCCCGGCGAGCTGCTGATGCCCTTCGATTTTTGTTTCGATCGGCTATCGAGTTGGTAATCCGAATCTTGTAAAGTTGGTGAGTCTCCTCTTGGTACCTGACGTCCCCAAAAAAATTAGGACGGATTTGTTTTTGTTCTTAAACTCGATTTGGGTCAATAGCGTAGGATGTGTAGATGCACACTGGCATCTCTCGTAGCGAATTATAAGCACCAGCAGTCCCAGCATTTAAATGCATTTCAGCAGCTAACAAAGATCTATGCACACGTGATAAGTCATCATACACGAACGAATTTGCCAGGGAATGTGTGGTGAGCTTAAATTTGATTTGAATGTTGAAGTGGCCTGAAAATAGGAGAGAAAAAAACTAGCCCAATGTGCCTGACGGTGTCGTAGCTGTCGTCTTCACTGCAGTACTTGTGGCTGGGAGAGCTGTGTGCACTTCCCGGAGCCCTCTGCTCCATTGTATTGCATTGTTCCACTTATTGGTTGTTTCGTAAATTCGAAGACAACTTTTCCACGAAATGAGCCGACGATCTGTAGCACTCGGACCGGAAACCCGCTCTCTGTCGAAGAAAAGTGACACCGTCGATTGTTTGCGATCAAGGGATCCAGAACTTCGCTGATTTGATGCTTGAAGCTGATCATTAGACCTCTGGTCATGTTACGTGACTCGCGGATAAAGCGTTAATTAAAGGGTAGCTTTATATTGACGTCGATGTGTAGTGTGTGCAGCTCGTGTTGACTGTTATTATAGTGTGATAATTCCCTTCCAGTACTAAACACGTATGTTTTGGGCGTACGGTATGATGCACTGTACATTAGTGTGCATGATGCACACCACATGTACTCTATTTCTACGTGCATGTTCTGGGTAAGATCGAGTTTGACGGGGAAATGAAGTGAAATTTGGTGAATAGTTGAAGCGGGACACAAATTGGACGGTGGACCAAAATCTTTTTTACGCCTGATCAATTTGAGCGTTCTTAGAAACGGCCCACTCAATTAGTAACTCGACTCAATTAATTACTTGCTTGGTGCGGCAAACAATGGCAGACCCAACGGAGCCTTTCAGGACATCACAAGGCTGGTCCAGACTCTGGGAACTTCTCCGTGGGAAGAACCGCCAATGCGCATGTCAGCTGTACCCACTGCTAACATTCCATCAGCCACTGACCGATGGAATGTTATGGGCTCCATAAACTTGCGGCAACTTGCTTTCCACAACGACAGTGACGTCTAAATCTGATGTCAGTGATTTGTCTACGCAAATGATCGCAGAAGGACAGGCGTGTCCAGATCCCTCCTCTAGATGATACCTGAAGCTGATCACGTTTGATGGTTTACCTTGGAGTTTGTAAGATGGACGCCAAAAGCTAAAGATAGTATTTCGGCGCATCTGCCCATTAGCGCACACAATGTAGTGCGACGCAACTGTCCGGCGAACGCCCCCGCTTCATCCCGATGCACTCTTCAGTACCGTGCGAGTCTCTTTATGCTCCCTGTCCAAATTTCGCCAAGTGAACAGCTCTCTGTGGATAATATCCACAGAAAAAGCTGCCAAGTTACAGGACCAGCACGTTGCAAGCCTGGCTGATCCTCGAGACTGTTCTTTTTAGCAGGTCGAAACAAGTTCATACAGGAAGTCCCACTGGCGTTACACGACCGTCCAATTCGTGGCCAGTCTTACTGGAAAGCCCACTTTCGAACTTGCGCCTTTGGTGTCACAAGAGGCTTTCCGTTCACACACCACAATGGCCACGACCGTAGATACCTCGACCAACTGCGTGGTCACCAGCTCCACCCGAACAACCAAGTGGGCCACCGTGAGAGCGGCCCACCGTGTCCGCCTCTGCTACCATGACGAGGCGTATCGCCAGCGTACCGAAGAGCGCACCAAGAGCCTCATTGCGGACGCCTCATCATCCACGAGCTCCAGTACCAGCGCGCTACTGGCCAAGAAGGCGCTTAAGTATCGCAAAGTGTACGACCGCATGACGGCCGTGGATGTGAAGGACCCCAACTTCGACGTATTCGAGTTCCTGGGTGTCGACTGGCACAAAGCCTCGTCCATGAAGACCTCTGGTCACGTATAAAGCGCTGGAAAGTAGCTATTTATTGGCGTTGTCTACACTGCAAAGATTGCATATGCATTGACACGACGTGGTTACATGGCCATACATCATCAAAGCTTACGTCTAGAAGCGATAGAAAATCTTGGTGGAAAGATTGCCGATCCCTTAGAAGATTTCACAACTTTCTCTTGGCTAAAAATAAATGTTCTGTGAGAATAACAGCTTGTCCCGAACACTATAACGCTTGTGTTATTTAGTGTTATGTCAGTTTTGCAACCACTGTAGGCAGAAATAGTCGCTAAAGCGTGGCACTCAGGTCTCTGATCAATGCCATCGGACGTGTCTGTGTCCGACGAAGAGCTGCAGAAATGCTACGAGGCCTTCACTCGACGCAGACTTACCCGTGGAGAGCAAAGTATCCGAACTCCTGAAGGATTCCAGAGACTGCACACGAGATATCAACGGCATATCACAACTGTATCAGATCCAGCGACATCAGAGGACGAAGAAGCTGAAGATTCTGCGTGTCGACGCAACATTTTGAACGTATTTTTTAATCCGAAAATTTTGCGAATCATTACCGAAACTTGCTGGCGTTTGGCGAATTTTGGCGGTGGGACTTTGAACGATGAGAGGGTGAGCAACTTTCGTACTGTTGAGGTAAGAGAAGGTAGAGCTGATTAAAAACTGTGTGTGTGTTTAGAGTTGCGCAGATCTAGAACTTAACATGGAGAAATATGAAACTTTCTCTTTGCGGTTGGTGCAGTGGGTCATTCCTGAGCTACCACGTCGACAGGTTTAAGAGCTTGTGCAGTACGACTGGGAACTCGACCGCAAGTTTGACGAGTTGGGGATGGATGGATTGAGTTTGCAAGGGTTTCAGCTCTCACTCCTTGATCTCTTGATTTCATGCACGGTAGGAAATAAAACGCCAACAATCTCGATGGCTACTAACGTGCAGAAATTGGTGTGTAGGATGGCACAGTGGCCAAGTGTCTCGAGTTTCTAAATCTGATGGCGCGATGGCTACAACATTCCCTGCCTCCGTATATTATAAAAGACAGTACGCCGCAAGTGGACGAAGACCTGGCAACTACCAATGATCTCAAACAACTGACTAAGGCTATAGCAGCTAAAATTGTGTGGAAAACAGTTCCATTTTCCGTGATGACTCCGAGTCCAATCGGCAAACATGGACTTTACTGCGAGCTGAAAGTGAGTGCAAACCCCTAAATTTAAAGCATACTAGTATACTAACACTACCGCAGACTAAAGCTTGCTCTGCACCAATAGCTATCATGATTCTAGCTGCCACTGAAAAGTAGGTACCTTACCAAAAGTGATGTGGCGACAGTTAATCACACTAAGGATTTCTGCTTCTTGCAGTCCTATGGAGCTCGTACTCGCTCCAAGCCCCAAGACCCATCTGCAAAAGCCTGAAAGTCGCAAAAACAAAGAAGGAGCTTGCTGGACATTTTCTATGAGCCCAAAGTCGTCATCAGTACTCTTGGTTCCAGGATCCACCGTCAGGCGCCAAACTAAAGCACTGTACGCGTGCTTCCGTTCACCTATTTCTAGAGTGGATTCTTGTATCGACGGTGATGAAAGTGACAGAAGGGAACGATCCGAAACTCAAAACGCAGCTTCGTCAGCAGATTTAACTCTATTTACGAGTGTTCCAGAGCTGATCTTCCTTAAATTCGGAAGCAAGAGGTACAAAATGGAACGCATGAGCTCACGCATCTTCACAGTAGAGCGCAGTGACAAGACATTTACAATAACATTGACAGGTCCGTTTCTTCAGAGTAGCCATTCTACAGGAGAGCCGCCAGTTTTGAGTACCTTGGAGACAAATTCAACCTTCAGTATCAGCGATAGCTACCCGCGAGATGACGATGTCAGACAGTCCGACGCTCACACGTTTGTCTTCATTCTAGAAAGCCCCGGGCTGAGGAATAATGGATTAAAGGAGGACCAAGCCATACAGCCGCGACAGTGGTTCACGTCGATGAATTCTGCAAACGTGACCAAAACCATTTTATTTAACAGTTCTGAGTGTGGAGATAAAGTAAAGGAGACTCAGACCAAGGAGATGTACCAGCTCTTCGTCTTTACGCTGCATGGGGTCAACATTGAAGTGGCTTGCAACAGCGGAAACTTAGAACGAAATCGAGAAGAATCCGAACCAGAAACCCAAGAAACAGACGCAGATAATCCCAATAAGTTCCCAGAGGTGATAAGCTCTAGCCTTCTGAAGGAGCTCTTGCAGCTTCAAAGAACGCGACAACAAGAGATAGCATCGGAACCTCTACCGGATATGGTGATAGGAATGCAAGTGAGCGCCTTCAAACCGGCCACAACCGCAGAACCTCTTCGCAGAAAGGTACGACCAACTAATCTACTGTTACCTTTCATAAATTATATAACTTTTTATTAACTCAATAGATCCTTCGTTCGCGTCAGGACGAACGGTACGCTCGCTATCTACAGCTACAATCAGAAATGCAGATCAAGATTCTTGAAGAAAAGCCAAGCAGAAAATCTCCAATCTCTCGGAAGCCCAGAGACTTTAATGAGAGCGTAGAAACGCCACTCTCTCCAATGTCAGAACTGAAGAAGCGTGTGAATCAACTAACAACTTTCTTCCACGAGATGGCAGTGCATCAGCCTCGAGATGACGAGCTACATGGTAGCGCTGTTGAAGCGACTGAAGCTGTGGCAGAAGAGCAATTGCTTAAGAGATTCAGCGACATGTTCGACTATGACGCCGATTTACAGAACGCTTTAGGTGGAGCACCGACCCCGTCAAAATCGCTCGAAGACGGGATTCCATGTGCACAAACCTGCCAAAGATGATAACAGAAACGCGATTGGACGTTCGAGGACCTGCGCAGTACATCGAACAGCTCATGATAGATGTAGCGAGTCATGCGACGCAACAGCAAGCACAGCAAATTGTCGACGATAGAGAACGGAAGCGAGCTGTCATGACACAACTCGTTGATTCGTGGCTATATACACAGCATCGGGTGTATAAAGCAGCGACACAGAAGCGAATTAACGAAATGGAGCACAAACGACGTACCCAATGGCTACAGTCTGAATATATTCAATCGAAACGTGGCGATAAACCTCAACGACCATCGCCAAAACAGCGTTTCCTCGTTCAAGAGCATTCTCTCCCCTCGAATGCGATATGGGAGGTTTCTAAAGCTCCGAACAACCAGTCTGTATTACGAACAGTAACACCTCCTACGGAGACTACTTTGACGCCGCATTGCCCGCCAAATCGACCTGCAACGGTATCAACAGTAGAACGCTCCAGTAACATCACGGCCTTACGCTCTGCAGCTATCTCACGCGCTCGTGTACGACGCATTCGAAGTGCCCACTCCACCGTTAGAGGTGACTCTACTTCGAGAAACATTCAAACTACTTCGCTGGTCTCCTCTGAGCAAGACGAGGCATCACCGCAGCAAGAAACCCCGGACTTGACATCAAACGATGATGCGCTGAACCATAATGAAAGCTCGTGTGATTCCAGTCCACATTTAATAGATGATCCGGTACGATTCGAAGCTCCATCGTCTACATCCCCTACCGACCATGAAAGTGGACTGGAAACGAAGATTGCGTCAGTGGAGAAGAGCACCTTGAAAAGAAGAAAGAGATTGAAAAAGAAGAGAGTCCGAACTGATATCCATTTCCGACGACGAGTTCTAGAGTTGGTATCAATTTCTGCGCAACTGGAAGCTCTCGACGGTGAGAAATGGAAAGAGGCCCAAGGCATCGAAAGCGTTGACGAACTGAGCAGTATGCCGTGTCTACCGATCAAATGAACGTACCCACTCCATCTTTATAGTCGATTTTATGCTACGAGTGACTGCTTGAACCAATATTCTAAAGAGTACCCCCCCCCTTCTAAACTCCAGTATAAAACTTTCGGCTTGCAGACCCACAGTTCATGCTTGAGGCTGATCTTCCCTTCTCGTCTTGGAGAGGAATCGGCATCGAAATCGCGGCCAATCTCAATCGACAATAAGAATCAAGTTAGATTTGTTTACACAGGTTTCAATCTTGAAAACCAAGATTTGACGATTCACTGAGTGCTCAATTATAAATTTTCAGTAGATTACCCATATGCAGTAAAGCTCACGCGAGTTTCATATGGATCGAGCTGCAGCGACGCCGCAGTCTCTGACGCGGCACCTTTCTCTCATTTCCTGCTCTCCATGATGGCTGCTACGTCTCCAATAGCGTCGGAATCGCTGCGATGGCGAGTAGTAGGCAAAGATGCTCCTAATCCGTTGGCATTCGGTACTGCAGACGAAGAAGAAGAGTTCCACAAAAAACTCGACTACGTCGAGGGCTGCAGACTGGTGGTTCCTATTGCTCCACAACTCACTATCGAATGGAATAATCTGACGCTTCGAGTCGTTGCGAATGATACTGAAAAGACGATTCTAAGCGATGCTAATGGCGTCGCCCATCCCGGTAACCTCTTGGCTATTATGGGTCCTTCCGGAGCTGGCAAGAGCTCACTGCTCGACTGTCTATCCGGACGCAATACCACTGTTGAAGGCAGTATTTGGGTCAATGGAGTGCAAACCGAGACCCAAATTTTGAGGAAAATTGTGGCGTACTCTATGCAAGACGAAATGTTCCACTCGACGTTGACAGTGAAGGAACATCTAGTGTTCCAAGCGAGGTTGAGACTGGGACATGCCACCAAAAAGCAGTGTCAAAGTCGAGCCAATGCTGTGTTTCAGGAGCTCGGATTAACAGGATGAAAGGACACTTTGATTGGTGGATGGATGTTACGTGCAGGCCTTCCGATAATACAACTGCAATGAATTTCTTGCTTTTTAGTGAAATCAGTACTTGCAGGGAAACATTTGATATTAAAAAATACGTAATTGTTATGGTTAGAGCAATATCACACCACTACTGTCAAGATACATCTCATCTGGATGCATTAACGACATCGGCGACGGTTTTCACATTCCAAAGGTGGCGATTTACCTTCAGAAACAGTATTATCTCGAGGTTGATAGGGAGCAGTCCTTGGCGATGGTTTCCCATGACATGTTTGGTTTGACTAAAAAACCGCTCGCACATGTTGGAAGTCGGCGGGATTACCGCGATTTCTGGGTTCTCACAAGGCGTCTCACGTTGTAGTTTGCGTTTTTTGAGCGCTCGGTCCGCAAACCCAACCTTCTTGCCCTCCGACAATTGTGGCGTCGCAACGTGAGAAGCGAACGGTAAGAGCAGTGAGCGCTGAGACTCCGTGAGATTATCAGCCTTTCCGGTGAGCACGGTAACACAGGCATCCTTGAACTCAGGTTGCTGGACGATACCTGCGTCCGACCCCAGGTACCCCTCGACACCGGGATGTTCTTCGATCAGCGCGTCGAAAATGTCTACTACGTCGAGAAGTGACAACCCGTCGGCACTTTGGAGCTTCTTCGAGGAGGATTCAAATGCTTTCAGCTCCTCAAGAAGCCCCCTCAGCTGGTTTTCTTCGCGCCGCGAAGGCATCAGCGCCGTCGTGGCGTCATCCATGGCATTAATTGCATCTTTTAGATAAAAATAGCGTCGTACCATGTTAAACGTTGACGACCACCGTGTTGTTTGACGGAGAACTGGCCTCAACTTGTTTTTTCTCTAAATTTTACCAAAACAAAACCCAATTAGATAAATTACCGAAAATACAAAAAAATACATTTTGCGCTCACCGCAAACTAGCCGAAGCGTTTAGACCGCGTAATTTACGCATCAAGAGCTGGACTTTGTCCAGCAGATCCTCATAGCTTTCCATGTACTCCACGACAGCCAAGTTAAGGCGGTGGCTCGCACATCCCACGAAAGCAGCCTTCATGATTGCAGCGTTGGACCCATTCGTGGGACAGTTGTCCGCGACGATGTACAGCACGTCAGCCAGCGTTCGGCCAAAGTAGCCCAGCACTGCTTGGAAAAAAGAAATGTGAGCAGGAGCAGAAGGGTCCACGATGTCATCATCCACAAGAGGAGCCATGGCGAGCAGGATCTTCTCCATCTTGCTGTCATGGCCGAAGACCCCAAAAACTGCCACATAATGCTCCGATCGAAATGAACATCCATCCCAAACAATGCCAAATTTCTTAGGGAGAATGCCCGAAATGTAGTTCTCCAGCGCTTTCACTACCAAGCCCATGTACTTCTCAGCTGTCTCTGGTGAGATCGTGGGTACAGCAGCATATTTAGCCACCGTCTCGTTGTCGAGAAAGCTGAATGGGAGATTGCATTTCACAATCCAGTCAATCCAGCTGTAGATGACTTGACTCTTCTTGTCCACGAACCCAATCAGGGTGCCGCTGGCAAGCCCACTGCTGGCAATATCGACTGCATAGCTGGAGTGTTGTGCGCAAATGTGGCTTATCAGGTTAGTGTAGCCGGTTTTACTGTCTTGTTTGCGAATCTTGGAGCAGCGACAGCGAAAATATCCCGTCAGATCATCCTGGTTGTCAAGAACGGGCTTGAAGAAGAAGTCACAGACTTGCTTGTTAGTGAAGGGAGTTGTTGGCTCTCAGTTTTGCTTAGCTGGGATTGGGCAGTTTTGTGAAGCATGGGCTACAAATAATTTATGACGATACCGGAAATACATTACTGAAATTTTTCATCATAACTGAAAAGCATACTAATATTGCCATATTATTTTCACTGCAATGTATTATTCGGAAGGCCTGGTTACGTGGGATCTCCGGAGGCGAGAAGAAAAGACTGGCTTTCGCGTCCGAGATCTTGACCAACCCGGCGGTATTAATCGTAGATGAACCCACGTCCGGATTGGATAGTTGTATGGCACGTGCAGTGGTACAGCAACTGAAACATCTTGCGTTGCAGCGGACCGTCGTTACCGCGATCCATCAACCGTCTTCAGAGATGTATGCGCTGTTCGAGCGACTGTATCTACTTGAAGAGGGTGCAACAGTGTTCGAATGACCTCCAAGTAACGCACTTACCCATTTCGCTTCTCTTGAACTTCCATGTCCCCAATTTATGAACCCAGCGGACCATTTCATGGAACAGCTTGTGGTAGTCGAGAGAGCAACGGATTTCGAAGGGTTGGCTCGTAATCAACGACTCAAAGATACATGGAAACAGCAGATAACCGGCCAACGCACTGCTAAAAAATCTGAAGACTTAGTGGATATTGTGGTGCTTGAAGTCGAACGAGAAATTTTTTTTGGAAACTACGAGACGAGCTTATCTTTTTGGGGTCAAGTCGAAGTGCTGGTGCATCACAACGCACTGCGTCTTGCGCGTGACCCGATGGCCTTCCGTCTTCAAGTACTACAGACACTCACTATTTCATTTCTTCTTGGACTCATCTACTTTCAACTTAAAGTGGATCAAAAAGGTGTTCGTAATTTTTCTGGAGCTTTTTTCTATATTGTGACGGACCAAGTGTACTCGGCCTCGATGCCTGCTATCATTTCCGTACCTGTGGAGCTTCCCATTGTGTATCGAGAGCTAGATGTGGGACTGTACCGTATCGGCGCGTGGTTTCTCGCTAAAAATCTGTGCGAATTGCCATCACAAGTCGCGTTGCCGATTCTAAATCTGGTGCCGATCTATTTCTTAATTTTTGGAATATTCTATAATCCTGGTATCCTGGCTTTTATGCAGATGCTTATCCTGCTTATATCGATTAGCAGTGCATGTGTGGCATTCGGTTACGCGGTATCCTGTATGTGTCGTCGAGTGGATATCGCTCCTATCGTGGGGAATATAATTATCATGCCGTTGCTGCTTCTAGGTGGCATGTTTGTGGACCCCAAGCGAGTGCCCACCTTGTTCCGGTGGCTTGAGCTCGTGACGCCCTTCAAGTACGGATACTTCGGCTTCATGCGTGCATTCTGGCGTAGTGTAGCCAACGTACCCTGCAATTTAGAAGACATAGCGGAATGTACCCCCATGTCTGGACATGATGTACTGGCGAGCTACAATATTCCAGATCAGACAATCTGGACTGACGTGTGGAGTCTCGTAGTGTTCTTTCGTCTTCTCGGGTTCATAGCGCTCCACTTCAGTGTTCGTCACAAGTAAAAAAAAAATACCGATAACTTACCAGAAGTAAGAAATATATATGTATGGACTGATGTTACTTCGCTGCCCTGTATTATACAAGGGAGGGGAATTTAGCTTCATTAGTCTACGAGAGCGAGGGCGCGCCAGTCTCCACTTCCACGATGGCCTCAATTTCCACCGCTACGTTGAGCGGTAGAGCGTTGGTGCCCACAGCAGAACGTGCGTGCTTGCCTTTGTCTCCGAAGATAGCGAACACGGCGTCCGATGCGCCGTTGATCACACTGGGCTGGGCCGTAAACGTGTCCACGCAGTTGACGAAGCCTGTGAGCTTAACGACGCGCTTGATGTGGTCCAGCTCACCCAGTTCCTCTTAGAAAGAATAAAAATTAATTACAACACTCAAGTATTCTAATTTAACATTATCATACGTACTCTTGAGCGTGGCCAGCAGAGCCAAAGCAACACGTTGTGCGGCTGCGTACCCTTCCTCCGCGGTCAAGTCCTTGCCCAGTTTGCCAGTAATCAGCTCCCCCGCAGCCGTCACGGGCAGGTGGCCAGCTATTGAATATAATTATTGTGGGACTTTGATCAGAGCAGTGATTTACTGAGTACGTGGTGACAGACCGACGCCGTACCAGTATAGATGTAGTCCCCGGTGCGCACGACGTTGACGTAGTTGCCCTTGGGGGCGCCCGCAGGAGGAAGTTCGTGGCCTAGCTCGGCCAAACGGTCTTCGATGTTGCCCATTTTGGCAAAATGATTTTGCTTGGTACCTTTGAAAGTGTCAAACGTGCGGCAGTACTTTTCCCTCCAGTATAAAATAGTACTTTATAAAGTACTAATACAATTTCTGTGGTAGATAGTGATTTGTAATGAAGCTCCGATACTACTCGAGTTACTGCCGAGGTAAAATGAGACAAACTGAGCTATTTGTTGAAGTGCGATTTTCGAAGGCCATTAATGACTTAAATAGCGGGACGTCTCCTCTATATAATGATGGTCTTAAATATTTTTGTCATTCAACCGTTTTCGAGAAAAGCGACTTTGAAAAAGCAGCCCTGTGATGGTAACATGTAAGGCCACATCTTCTAATAGCTCCTACAACCCGCAGCCAACACACATGGAGTGTGCTCCAACGGAATATAGTGAAGCACATCATGAACTACATCATGATGCTGGTATAAACAGCGTTCAGCTGGATCATAAGAAGACACATGCGGATATTAAAGGACACATCTGCTGATGGACTTGCACTTGAGTGCAACCAGAGCAGGCTCTGAGGGCGGCTATCCCTGGACTGCCAAGGTGGCAGGCGATAGCGCCCGCAAGTTAAATTAGATAGCTCACTTTTGCTTTTGCAATCTGATCAACAATACAAGTTGGTCTTCGCGGGAGTTCCAGCTCCCAAACTGTTGTTGACACGTCACAAAGTTAACTTTAGTTCAAGTGTGAACGATGAGAACTCGCAGCAGCCGCCAATCTCAGGTTGACCAAGGTACCAGGTTGACTGAGACGACTGAAACGGCTGCCAGCTCGACTACTGGAGACATCAAAGTTTCGACGACTGCTGCGACAGCAATACCGGTGTCGTCCTCGTCAATTGTACCCCCGTACGTGAACGACATCTCCCATCCTGCTCTTGTCAAATGGAAAAGGGAAAGGCAGGAGTATGAGGACGCAATCGAAGCTCGGTGCGCTACCACTGGCGAAGACAAGTCAAAAGCTCTACGGAGCGTAAAGAACTCGTTCAACCGGCAACTCCTGAAGACTCTCTGCAAGTTTGAGTGGGGGGGCCACCGTAGAACAGGTCACGGAGGACAGGATTGTGTCAGAGCTGGACAAGATCATCGGTAATGTCATGAATGATGTCATTCTTGATATTTATTCGATTTTTGATGCAAGGTTGAAGATGGACCTTGATCAACGAGACGTCAAAGCTCGCGTCCTGAACTATTTCATGCTGTGTGATGAGATCATTTTGGAGAACGGACCGGCGAGTACCTTTGCTACAGCAACAGGTATTAAGGAAATGCCGAGTACTGAAGAAGCACTTAGCACCTGTGGCCCTACGTGATGCAGTGGATAGTCACCTACGACTTGTGGACACTACAAGCAAATCCGACGAGAACGCTCTGTACGTCCTCGTGAAAGAGAAAGCGCTGGAGCAGGCCAAAGTGGACCGATTACTGTCGACACGCAGGCAGCAATCAAACTGGAAAAACAGTGGAGGAAAGCCCAAGGGTGGTACTGATCGTGGCTCACGTCAGAAAAGTGACCAATCATCACCTGTCAGGAAAAAACGTAATAATGACGGCCAACCCCGCACTGTCTTTGCAATGAAGTCGTCGTTAACTCCTGCGGTGAAAAGCAAACCACGCACGGGATGTTTTCACTGCGGTAAAGATCATTGGCTCAGTGAATGCCCCGATCTTAACGAAGCGGGAAAAGGAGCTATTCTCGCTGATAAGAAGAGCAAGAGGAAGACCTTTAGTGGAAACGAGAATAAACGGTCTCGTACGAAGCGTGTGGAGATAACCTCGACGACGAACACGCAGGAGCGACCTACTGTCGTACTAAATGGGCTCCTTGAGCTACCTTACTGCGCTGATAGTGGGTCGGACTACAATATCATGTCACGAGAACATGCTGATCGAATTTGCGAGCTTGATGAGAATATTCTTCCTGTGGAATTAAGCGAGCCGATTGAATCGCGTGCAGCTGGAGGTACGATTTTGACATCGACCCACGCTATCGATGTGATCATCACATTAAATACGGCCGCGGGACCAGTACGATGCCAAGACCAGAAGCGATGCCTGATCGTGGAGTCCGACGAGGACGAGTTTCTGGTTGGTAAAACATTGTTAGCTGAGCTTGGCATAAATGTGGATCGTCAATTGGAATACCTTGCAACACGTGGAGACGATGATGAGACCTTTGATGACCCGGAAGGTATGCCGACCTGTAAGCCAACAGAGGAAGATGTGGTAATGAAGGTAGTGGATACTCTGGTACATGACGCAACTAACCGTGGCGTTGTGAATGAATACATCACTACCAGACTGTTCACTATTTTACGCCGTTTTGGAGGCTGGAGACTGGAGGTTGGTAACGATCCACCAGCTCGAGTTCCTCCTCTAAAAATCCGGCTAAAACCTGGTGCAGCTCCCTACCGGTGCAAAGTACGCCAATACAGCCCGGAAAAATCAGAATTTCTCGATACTTTTAAAAAGAAGCTTGTCGAATTAGGGTGGGTTTATGAAAACCGTGAGAGCCGCTGGTGCTGCCCAGCCTTACCGGTTAAAAAGCCCAGCACTGATGACTACCGACAAACAGTGGATTATAGACCGACAAATGCTCTTACCGAGCCTATCGCTGGTGTGATGCCGAGTCTTGAGGTGGCGTTGGAACACTGTAGAGGAATGATGTACTACGCGATGTTTGACTTCCTCGAGGGCTTTTGGCAGCTCCCATTGCACGAGAGCTGCCGTGAATTTCTCTCGTACATGACCGACCGCGGCGTGTTCACGCCAACTCGGGTTCCACAAGGAAGCACCGACGCTGCCCTACACTTCCAATCGACGGTGGAAATGGTTTTAGGTGATTTGGTGAACACGAATGTCATCGTGTGGATCGATGACCTCCCCGTTTTTGCCAAAAACGCTGATAAATTGGTTAAAATTATTGATGCCGTACTTCAGAGGCTGGACGAGTTTGGATTTATCCTAAATCCAAAGAAGTGCTCTTTGTTTCAAACTGAGGTCCGCTGGTGTGGCCGCATCGTCAACAAGGATGGAATCGGTCATGACCCGAGCCGCATCCAGGCCTTAAGAGATATGCCACCGCCAGCGACCGCCGCCGAGCTGCAGCAATTTCTCTGCGCCACCAATTGGATGCGCGCAAGTCTAGTTGACTACGCTCGTGACGCAAGGCCATTACAAGAACGTCTCGACGCAGCCTTGGTCGGCACTAGAAAAACCAAGAGAGCTGCAGCAGGGGTGCAAATCGATTTGACAGTGGAAGAATTGAAAAGTTTCGATACAGTAAGGGACTTGTTGGCACATTCGGTGACGTAATCATACCCAGATCCAACCAAGCAGCTAGTACTGATGTCGGATGCCTCTAATTCTGGCTGGGGTTTAGTTGTATCGCAAGTGAGTCGATGGAAGCCGCAGATTCCGATTACCAACAGGACCATGAGTTGCTGGTCTGTATGGGAGGCAGTTTTATTGGCTCAGCTCTTAACTGGAGTGTTATCGAGAAGGAATCATTCCCGATCGCTCACGCGTGTGAACGACTGGAATATCTATTGCTTCGTCCACAAAGGTTTAAACTATACTGCGATCATCGGAACATCGGCTACCTTTTCGCTCCCGGCAAAGAGTTGAAGAAGCATGTGCGCGGAAAACGCTTACGCTGGTCCACTAAACTATTAGAGTACCGATACTCTATAGAGCACATTGAGGGGATTCACAACGTATGGACGGACCTGATATCGAGGTGGGTCGGCAAACCCCTACCAAGAGCGCGTATTCACTCGGCCAAGAGGTTTACACGAGCCAATCGCAAGCGTGGAAGCGGTTCAAAGGCGAGTCCAGCGCCTCCACCGCTACGCCCAGTAGACCAGGACGGTTTCGTCTGGCCTACAGTCGAGGAGATTGGTAGCGTGCAATCACTGCACGACGCACCGAAGGGTGCAACACTGAGTGGTGATGAACTATGGCTTATGAATGACGTGATTTGGATACCAAGTGGAGCTCACGACTTGATTCAAAGACTTCTTGTCGTCGCGCACTGTGGTAGAAACGGACACCGCGGCAAGCATGTGATAGAAAACCACATACGCCGGCTGTTTTACATTTCTGGTCTCACAAGGATCGTACGTGCCTTCTGCTCGAAATGCCTACTCTGCCTACATGTGAAGGGAGGGGTAGTGAGTCCCCGACCTTTTAGTGAAGCTCACTACACCTACGAACGGAACGAGACGCTACACTGGGATTTTTTTTTACTCTGGGTGATTCTTTCGGCACCTCCCGCTACACGCTCGTGTTGAAAGATGAGGCAACGCACTTTACGGAACTGGTGGCTTGTGATAGCCCCACTTCTGAAGTTGCAGCGAGTACCATCCTGGATTGGTACAGTCGCTTTGGAGTACCTAGGGTGTGGGTAAGCGACTCTGGATCGCACTTTAAAAACAAGGTGGTATCAGAACTTGGCCGAAGGCTGAAAAGTCGTCAAGAGTTCGTGCTAGCATACTCACCTTGGAAGAACGGCTCAGTAGAGCGCGTGAACCGGGACATCCTGCAAGTACTGAGGGCACTGGCACTGGAGTACAAAGTCAGCTTGCACGATTGGCCTTACTTACTTCCGCTGGTGCAGTCCAGCCTAAATCACTCCCCGGTACCGTCGTTGGCTAACCGGGCTCCAGTCGAGCTATTTACGGGACTACCATGCCCCAGTGCACTAGACACGGTATTTTTTCCGGGAGGGAAGGGTGTAACTACGCTGGACAAGCCAAAGCCAAGTACAATAGAGCGACTCAACAAACTTCAAAAAAACATTCGCAACATGCACAAGCCCGTCAAAGACGAGCGACAACGCCAGAACAAACGGTACCGGCAACGATTACACCACGAGCAGCCTATAAACTTCTCTGTCGGTGATTACGTCCTACGTTCTCGTGTCGATGAGAAAATACATGCAAACAAGCTACGTGTGATGTGGGTCGGTCCGTACTCTGTGGTTAGCAGTGTTGACGACTATTTCAC